TCTCTCTCTCTCTCTCTCTCTCTCTCTCTCTCTCTCTCTCTCTCTCTCTCTCTGTCTGTCTTTGTGTGTGCGAGTGGGAGAGAGACGTTAGGCGCAGCCAGGAAGAAGGGCCGCGGCAAGTGCGGAGAAGGGTGGTGAAAGGCGGTCGGAATCAGCGAGGAGGGTGGGGCGCAGTCGAGCACGACGCTCCGCGCAGGAGAGGAGGAGCTTGGGTGCAGTCGGGAAGGAGGAGCGGGCCAGGCGAGGAGAACGGTGGCCGTGATCAGGCAGGAAGGTGGGCCCAGGGAGTGCCCGCAGGACAGGAGGACGTTGGGCGCACCCACGAAGGAGGGCCGCGGCGGTGGGGAGAAGGGTGCTGAAAGGCGGTGGCAATCAGCCACGAGGGTGGGACGCACTCGACCACGACGGTGGGCGCAGCAGAGGAGGACCTTAGGCGCAGTTGCGAAGGAGGGGCGGGCCGGCCGGGGAGAAGGGTGCTCGCAATCAGGCAGCAAGGTCGGTGAGAGAGAGAGAGAGAGAGAGAGAGAGAGAGAGAGAGAGAGAGAGAGAGAGAGAGAGAGAGAGAGAGAGAGAGAGAGAGAGAGAGCATGAAAAGAGCGGCGAGCAAATACACAATTGAACAAAAATGTTGCGCGTGTGTGTGCGTGTGTGTGTCTTTGTGTGTGTGTGTGTGTGAGAAAGAGAGAGACAGAGAGAGAGGGAGAAAGAGAGAAAGAGAGTGAGAAAGAGACGCCTCGTTGCACGATTCGTACGTGACCATGCATTCTATTCGGAGTGAACACAACACTCTCAGCAAAAACGAGACGTGTCGAGCGAATGTGTGTTGTGTGTCCGCGTGTATGTCTGTGCGTACGTGTGTATGTGTGTGTATGTGCGTATGTGCGTGTGTGTCTCTGTGTGTGTGTCTGTGTGTGTATGTGGGACAGAGAGAGACAGAGAAACAAAGAGGCTCGACTCCACATGCTGACTCCAAAAAGTCCGAGTGTGACTATTCCCTCAATGAGACAGCAGTTGCTGTTTGCTGCCTGGCAAATTTTTTATTTATTTTTTTAAATGCAGTGTTTACCTTTTCTTCTAATTATTTTTTTTGCGGACCGTTTCTCTGTATCGTTCCAATTCCTGTGAATGTCTCGAAGGACAAATCTATAACTCTGACATTCGCCGGAATTGGAACGATACAAAGAAATGGTCCGCAAAAAAAAAGGAAGCAAAGCGGGTGGAGGAGGAGGAACACGAGCCGCGGCAGGAGGAGGGAGGAAATAGCGGATCACAGCAGCGGGAGGAGCAGGGAGAGTCGCAGGAGCAGCGGAAGGAGTGGTCGGAAGCCAGAAGAACTGACAGAAGGACTGGGAGAGAGAGGTAGACCAGCAGGTGGGCTCATCACGACGTGTGTGTGTGTAACAATGGCCAAACATTCCATACAGAACAAGGCGCGGAAGACTGAGGTGAAGGAGAACAGGGGATAACAGTAATGAAATTGAACGCCCGCTTTTCATTTGTGGAAATCCCGGCTGTCATTTTCGGTAACAAACATTCCGTTTCTGTACGGGTCTTGCTACAATGCCCAATGCTGATCAATGAGGTGAAGGAGAACAGGGGATAACAATAATGAGAAATCGAACGCCCGGTTTTCATTTCTGCAAATCCCGGCTGTCATTTTCAGTAACTAAAATTCTGTTTCTGTACGCGTCTTGCTACAATGCTCAATCCTGATCAATCACTCCAATGAATGAATCAATCAATCAATCAATCAATCAATCAATCAATCAATCAATCAATCAATCAATCAATCAATTAATCAACCAATCAATCAATTAATCAACTAACCAATCAATCAACCAATCAATCAATCAATCAATCAACCAATCAATTAATTAATCAACTAACCAACCAACGAATCCATTCTCTTTTTCGACATGTTGACAATGGTATTTGCACTCGTGTATATGTATACGCCTGTGTCTGTACGCGAGACAGAGACAGAAGGTGCTTTGCCCAAAAAAAAAAACGGCGAACCTCCCTCTATGCAGTGCTTGAAAAAAAAAAGAAAAATGCATGCAGACACCTGTCCATGGAAACACCTCTCTCTCTCTCTCTCTCTCTCTCTCTCTCTCTCTCTCTCTCTCTCTCTCTCT